TGTGGCCTTGAAAAAGCAAAAAAATCTAGCTGCATGTTAAATGTACTCAGGCGTTTTATGGCCTGTCAAACCTGGGTGTGATTTGTGGTGCAGGGAAAACACAATGTCTCACTTCCTGGGTAATGTGTGTGGACACCTGTGCCTGTATGTATACAAGGTACACACACACACACACACACACACACACACACAACCAGACACAACCACACACACACACACACACAAACACACACACACACACACCACACAACACACACACAACCCCACACACACACACACACACACACACACACACACACACACACACACACACACACACACAGCAGCAGCAGCAGTCAAGCCTACTATCATTTGGATTCCTCCCCTGTGGTGGCTCTGTAAGGCATCTCAATCTCCATCACGCTGTCAGAAGAAATAAACACATTACGACGAGAATTGAGACAGAAAAAACTAAAATGCATTTCTTTTTACATTGGCCGAAAGGTGCAAACTTGTCACAACGACCCAAAACAATTCCATTAGGATAAACGCGCTGCAGTTTCAAAAACTACTGTATGCTAATAAAAAAACACAAATGTGGCAAAAAACATGAAAATGAAGATACATCTTCACCAACTTGACCAAACATGAGTAGCCTTACATAAAGTGCATCAAAAACAAAACGCTGCAAATAAGAAATGCTGCAAAAAGCTCAAAACACAACGGTAACCAGGGGACACTAAAAAGTGATGCACAAAACTGGGATCAGAGCGCTTGTTGACGTTCAGGGATTATAAAGTTAGCCAACTATCTCTGTCACTTGAAACATTTTATTGGCTTATTTAAACAATGGGATCACATGATTCCTTCCAATATTATTGCATAGTCATATTGCATAGTCATTTTAAATATACTGACAAAAAATGTACAATTATGAATGAGGCTAACTGTGCCAACAGTGACAGTTGACTAACTTTTAATCCCCAAACTTTAACGTCAGGCGTTCTGCTACCAGCTGTGTGCATCACTTATTGGTGATCACTTATTAGTGATACAGCGTTTCGATTTTTGCAGCGCTTTTAGTCAAGATGTTTCTTCATTTGGCACATTTGTGTTTTTATATTTGCATCGTTTTTAAGACTGCAGCGCATTTCTCATAATGGAAATGTTTTAGGCCATTGCAGCACGTTTGCACCTGACGGTCACCGTACATTTTCTTTCACTCATAATTACATAAATCACACACAAACACAAGCCAAAAATGCTCTCATCCATTGCATGGTGAAAAAATACATTTATTGGAATCTGTGTCAATGTAGAAAAAAGTGAAAACTGGCTTTAGGTTGTTTTTTTTGTCACAGTACCACAGGTGAATATTCCAGCAGCCGTCCGGTGAGTCAGCAAGCTTGTTAGGGCAGTACATCTGCTACTGACGCACAGAGAAGTCGGACACCAAACACATCGTCTTACAGACTGTAAGAAGCTCGGGCTGCTCCTAAAGACACACCACCAGCAAATACACAAGCTCAGCAATTAACCTAGCCTAATGTTCTCTTGTTAAGCAGGTGATTTCAAATGTTGTGTTGTGATACTGTTACAAATCCCTTTTTTCAGTAACTGCCAAGTGTATGGAGGCTCAAAGAAGCCATATTGTGAGATCAAATATGGTTTTATAATAACTACTGGAGATTCATATTTTTCCCACAAGTTCCCACAGACCTTGGAAATAAATTGTGGTCCTGTGGCAAAGCTATGAAGGTTCCTTGGGGGCATCATAATCGATGTTTATCGTAGGTGCCTCGGTCCTATTCCAATATTCCTGCCATCCAAAGTTAAGGGAGTATCACATTAATAGTAATTTTGTCCCTTTTTTTTGTTCAAATATTTCTGTCTGAACAAACGTTTCTATAATAAACACACTGCAAGTGACACATTATAATCTAGCAGGCCAAATGTTATCATGGGTAGTGCAGTTTTCTATTTCTGATATGACAGGATAAACTCACAACAACATGGCGAGTCTGCATACTTTATGAGATCAACAGAAAAAAAGGCATTAGAAAACAAAAAGGACATTTCTAAACTCAGATACTGAGGCAGTAACATTGAGAGGTCACTTTTTTTTCCCCATACAACTTCTATTACATATAGACTTTTTAATCTTAAATATCTTAAATCTCATATAAAATAATTAATCAGAAACTGATTCAATATACACAGACAAGAGTGCACGAGATGGATGAAGAGATGGTGTGCATGCCAAGTGTTTTTTCGCGAGTTTGCTGTGAGATTATATGCGCTGCTTGGATGTCATTTTTTTTTATAGATTTAGTTTAGCTGACAATATGTTTATGTGGGGTTTTGTCTGCAGCATCATACTTAATATCATCATTCAAGACAAGTGCTTTGAATTCAATAAAGGGCCTCTCTTTGAGCGTCAATTGTTCAAAGAGATTGTGACCTTCATGGTACAAAAACAAAAACATTCCATACTTCAACATGGCCTCATTAGCATATGCTTATTCTGGGTTGCACCAACAATGATTAATTTTCAAACCCATTATATAATATTATTTTTAAACAAGTTTACAAAATAATAATTTAGAAAGATTAATTGTAAAGATATTTTGGGCCACTAGTCCCTTTATTCAAGTGACAGTGTTGATAGGGGGAGACAGAGGGGATGACACGCAGCAAATTGTCATGGCACAGGAATTTAGCCTATTCAAACCTAAATGAAATTGAAATCTGTTGCACCAATGTAAATGTGATCTAGTATTAACTTTAAACTTGGCAGCCAATATTTTGTCGCTTTTATGAACTGTCTTCTTTTTGGTGTTTTTGATTGTGTGTTTGTTTTGTTTTTAATTATTATAGGTTGAATGCCTATGTGAAGCACTTTGAATTGCCTCTGTGTCTTAAAATGTGCTATACAAATAAACTAACCTTGAACCTTGGAAGGTAAAACTTTTTAAATGGCTGTCTTTTTGAGAAATGTTTGGCAAAATAGTACATTTTCTGGGAAGACTGAACCCAAGTTCAGTTTTATGTTGGAGGAGAAATTAGAACTTCTTTGCGGATCATGAAATCATGAATGAAATCGTAGGCCAAAGCTGCATTCACATGATACACGGTAACGGCTCTGCGCTCACATTGCGCTAACATTGCAGTTCAAACTATTTTAACTTTTACCTCCTTTACCAGTGAACTTTTGACGTGCAACCAATAAGATGTCAGCTGTAGCAGCGCAAGCTAGCAGGGCAGGTTACCATTGAAACGAAACCTAACTAACTGTTTTCACTGCAAGACTCTGTGCCCAACCTCGCAGTTAGCAAGGGTTCAAACAAGGCCTAACTGACTAACTTTTTAGCTAGCTAGCTAGCAAACAAAATAAGGTCTTGTAAATGATTTTTTTTTTCTCACAATACCAGCTGTCCGGTGAGTCAGCAAGCTTCTTTGGGCATTACATACACTACTGACGTACAGAGAAGTCAGACAACAAACACATGTTTAAAGAATAAGAGGGGCAGCTCCTAGCCTTGGCGTTGCGCACCACTCCACATTTTTTGCAGAACGCTTTCGACATGCAACCAATCAGATGACATTTATGCCAGCAAAGGAGGTAACCATACAAACAAATCTTAACTAGCTATCTTTACCGCAAAACTCTGTGTCTAACCTTGGGTTGAGCAAAGAGCCAATCGCGTATCATGTGAATGCAGCTTGGCTTACGAAATGTTTAGCTAGCTAGCTGGCAAACAAAGTAAGGTCCCCCCCCAACACACATACCTTTTATAGCCTACTTACTAGGTCCTGACAGCACGTACATTGATGTATTTATTATTGTGTGTGGGTAGGTAGAATTCGATTCAGTAAAAGGAGATTGATTCTTAATTTAGCAAGTAATTCGATAACATGTGTTCCTGTTGTTGAAACCCAGCTATATTCTTGTTCAATAGAGATCTCCAGCATTAAAATAATACAGTATTTTTCGATGACTAGGATTAATCCAATACGTGTCAAAAATAATAATTGGCAAGCTGCAAGGCAAATAATAATTTAATGGATGTGCATTCAAAATCTAAGACTTGGCTCATAAAACAAAGCATGCATGCTTTGTGATTTTTAGGAGACAAATTACGAATAAATAAAATATAAATGTTTTATTCTGTGGCTTTCGCTAATAGAGGGTGACATTGCCGTAAATGTTTCCTTAGTTTTTATAATATAATAGACATTGGTCACAGTGGAGTTTCCCAAAGCAGCTTGTTGTTTCTTCTATGATCACATTCACACTGTTTTTTAAATGAACCATATTTTTTAAATTTATAATGTTAGATTGCATATGAAAGCTGAGCTAAAGAGGATACAAAAACCTGCACACTAGTTTGGCAATGAACTTTCTGTAATGACCTTTCTTTATGGCACAGTGTTAAAAAGATGGCACTGGATCCAATGACACCAACTCTCTATTCACAATGGCCGACGCTGTTCCTTTTGATACTGCTGTTATTTACTTCTTTCGAGAAAAAATAAATACAACAGTGAAGACATCATACTGACATCAATACCGGCTTTAAAAAGGATTCTTAACTTCACTTCTCTTTTTCTGTTGCTTTACAACTTAAACTAGCATCCACACATCTCTTACAAGCAACGGTATCTTTGTATGTTCACAGTAGCTTGACTGGATTTCAAAAATACCCATGAAGTCTAAAATTGCTGGTTTAGTTGTCGTCTAAAACATGGATGTGGAGAGCTCTTTAAAGTACTGGAGGACTGTCATCGTAAAGTATTCGATGGATTGAGATTGGAAGTGTAAAAGAAAATGTTGCAGCGTGTTGCCTTTGAGCACGAACACACATATTCATACATACAACCATTCATTTTCTTGTATATATCTATATATCTATATATATTTATAGAGATAGAGAAATCTGTAGTGATACTGAACAACCTTCAATTAAATCTGATGGTGTTATGGAGGAGAATCTGTTCAGTGTATGGAGGCTCTTCAATGAGCATTTACATGATTTCTGTACAGTAAAACAGCACACATAGAAACATGAGGACATTAAAATAAAAATATCCCACGCTGATTGTGATGTTTAAAATGTTAAATTCCTTTTTTTTTTATTCTAGAAAGGGTTTATTTTAGGCAGGACTGGGCATGGAGTCGCCCATCTCCCACACTACACAGTAGTTTCATTCTTCCAGGGCCCCGTGCGTATATTCCCCGTGCTGTCCGAGCCGTACAGGAGTCCTTCTTGCAGGCCCCCCTTTAGAATCCCATTCTGATTGGGCGGGTTCTGAGGGAACGATTGTCTGCGCGGGGCGTGCATCTCCAGATGGTGATGTGTCGCCATCGGGTCCGGCTCGGCCACTTTGCCGCAACCACACAGGAAGATGCCCGTGTCGCCCGCCTCTGCTGGGCACAGGGAGGGGAAAAGGTCAGCCTTGGCGCAGCAGATATGCCTGTGGCAGGGATTATGGCACACCAGGGCCTCGTGCGCGGCGGCGGTGGCAGCGCAGTGGCACGTGTGATGCCCGTCGTGGTGGCCTTCGTGGGCCAGGTGTGGACAGATGTGGGCGTGGCGCTCGTGTGTGCTGTGGGGGCTGTCAGTGTGTGAGCTGTGCATGCTGCCTCCGTCCACGCTGGAGGGGATGTGATAGGCGTACTCCTTTTCGCCTGCTGCCCCGCAAGCACCGGCCCGGCGGCCGAAGTGACGGCTTTTAGTCCTGGTGCTGCTCTTTAGGCAGGGGTGCAGCTGGATCCCCGGCCGGTACCCCTCCGGGTCGGCGTGTAGCAGCACGTGTGTCGCCGCGGGCTCCTCATCCATCAGCTGCTGGCTGTGCATCGCCGCGCAGCACGGAGCCACCGGCGCCAGGCACGTCACATGGTTCTGCAAGGAGGGGAGGGCGGCGTGTTTACAGTGAGCTAAACCGCCATGACTGCAGGTTATCACTGCTTTACCGTGACACGGAGAGTCATGGTGGCAGTGGCTGTGACCGTGGCCATGCCCGGGGGTGTCTCCATTCACATTGACTTTAGGTCGCGCCTGAGGGGCCCCTTGGGCTTCGGCATTTCGTCCGGGACAACACGAACACCAGCAATGCCAAACATCGTCGCGCTTGGCACAGTGATGGATGAGGATGAAGAGGCCGAGGGTGACGGAGAAGGCACCGTAGAGGCAACTGAAGATCATGTCCAGGAAGTGGCCCCTGCGACACGGCCAGGGCCCCGAACGTCCAGGTGGCCAGGAACAGGAAGAGGGTAAAGGCCGCCGTTCGTAGCTGAGCCTTGAAGGAGTGCTCATTGGCCAGCAGCGCAGGGTTAATGGGAACCCCCGGACAGCCAGCGGGGCAGTGGCCCCCACCGGACGGGGCCACCAGGGCCCCCGGCTCGGCTCCCTGGTGGCAGTGGGTGGGCACGTCGACGGCGGCCAGCCTCTGCTGCTCCTCCGTCAGCTGCTTCAGCTCGTACTTCTTCTCGGGGTGTCGCCGCAGCTGGATGAAGGTGCACAGGAAGTAGATGCATGTCACCAGGATGATGAAGCTCACGGGGCCAAAGAAGGCTCCCAGGCTGGGCTCCCACGCCATCCAGCAGCTGCAACACACAAGAACACCCGTGCATTTTAATACTTTGATTTATGTTTACATTTTTCAAAAGAACTAATAAACTGAATTATATAAACTCAATAACATAGGTTTACATGTTTTGCTTTGTATAAAGATACTTCTTACAAGCATAATATAGTAAGTACAACATAATATACCTATATAGTGGTTAATATATAATAGGGTCCTTAAAAGTCCTTACACAATGCTTATTAACATTATAATGTGTTAAAAATACTAAATAATAGTATGATAATATGTTTATTGTTGGATTATAAGGTATTTCTAACCGCTAATAAAACATTTGTAGGTTTTATAATTTTTTACATCGCAAATAAAACCACATTTATTTAGTTTGACTTACAGACCTATGATGTCATACCTTAACTCTTATCTACTTAGAGTGATACATACTTTATTATGTATTTATAACTACGTGACTATTCACCTCTTTTTGCAGCTCTGAAGTGAGAACAATGCCCTACCTTAAGGTTCATCAACCCTTTTGTATTATTACTTATCACTTATCCTATTAGTTAATAAATGCTCATACAAGACCCCAAAATGCAGCGTTACCCACACATTTCAAAAGCATTTATACAACCACATGTACAAGCATGCTTGAAACTTCTTTTAAAAGCACCAACAGACAGAGGTGCATGAAGTTCTTAGATATTTATCTTAGTTTTATACTTTAGTATAAGTTCAGAATGAATTACATTCAAATGTAATTCAAGTATCAAAAGTACTAAATAGGAAGAACGGCTCTGTTCACAGTGTCATATAGTATTAATGTTGTGGTTTGTCAAAGTTAAGCCAATTTCAGATACTTTTTTAAATACTGGGTATTACAATACTGCCTCAAATCATATTGAGTATTTTGTGTTTTGTACGTACAAAGTGTTAAAAAACTGTAATGGAATAAAAAGTTAAATATTTGCCTGGGAGTAGAAGTATATGTACAGTAGCATACAAAATAAATACTCAAGCACAAGTATGTCAAAACAGCCCTATAGAACAATACACGAGTGCATGTACTTTGTTTCTCTCACCACTGCCAGCAGAGTGTGTAATTTAACCTTGAGAGCAGAAGCAAATGGAGGACTTACTACGGCGCCTGCTCCCCGCTGCCATAGTTGTCTATATTGACGGCCGCCGTGACCCCGCAGATGATGAGGGGCACTCCACCGCTGACTAAATAAAATCTGTGAGGTGACAGAGAGAATAGAAAATAAAAGAATGTTAGAGTGAATAAGGCAATAGCAAATCCTATATCGCACATCAGGACTACAGTCAGCTGAACAATTGTTTTAGACAAACAGAAAAACACAAAACCCCTTTAAACAAAGAAGATTATAGACAACAAACACACTATGACACTGAGCTACAGGCACAGAAACATATTTTCAGGATATCCATTCCCTATACTTTCCTCCAATATGACTTGTCAACGTGTTTGTGATCACACTCTCCTGGTGCGATCACACCTACGGTTTGTTTTCTTTGCCACAAACCAAAGTGAGAAATGTACTCTGAAAACAAATCTGTTTCCTGTCGATTTAATCACGATGGACTTGTCAGTACTCATTGCTGCGATTTACACCATCTGCTGATCATAACAGCTCCTGATACGTGAGGAAAACCTGGGTGGCGAATAGTCTTTTATTTTTTACTCAGGAAGGTTCCTTATGGAGGGACATGACCCCAAAGTGGCAGCCATGATAAGAGCTGTTGAAATTCTAGGTAGGAAAGGAGCTTCAATACTTCCCTTGTTGTGTCCTTTGGTGTATCCTAAGCAAAAGGATACACCATGATCATGCTTTAAGAGAGAAAAGGAGATAATGCTGTGTCACTATTCTTTGCAGCCGCAGCATTTAAAGTGATGCACCATTCAGCCGTTTTGCGAAACAACCAATCGTAACCAAACGTGGATCACTTAAAGGGGACCTATCATGCAAAATCAAGGTTCAAGGTTCTTTATTGTCAATCTGACATAGCTACAGAGTAATTATGCAGTTGAAAATCTTATGTCACAGGCTTCTCCAACAATGCAACATAATAACATAACATAATAACAATAAGAGCAAGAGCAATACAAAAATAGTAATAGTTATAAAAATGAAATAAAGTTATGATGTGGAATAGTGCAGTATGAGTCTATATACAAGTTATTGGAATGATATATATATATTAGGTATTAGATACATACTACTGAGTAGCAGTTGAATGTTTGATGTTGTTTCAACAGTTCAATTGTTTAACAGTCTCACTGCCCGCGGGAAGAAACTGTCTCCGAATCTTCTTGTCCTTGCCCGGATGCTGCGGTAACGTCTGCCAGACGGCAACAGAAAGAACAGTTTGTGGCTGGGGTGATGGGGGGCTTTGATAATCCGTAGTGATTTCTTCCTGAGCCGCTGGGAGTAAAGGTCCTCCATGGATGGCAGCTCCGTCCTGGTGATGTGCTGTGCAGTTTTCACCACCCTCTGTAAAGCCTTACGATCGAGGTCGGTGCAGCTGCCGTACCAGGCCGTCATGCTGCCAGTGAGGATACTCTCTATCGTGCACCTGTAGAAGTTGCAGAGTATCCTGGAATCCATTTTGAACCTCCTCAGCCTGCGGAGGAAGAAGAGCCGCTGTCGAGCTTTCTTGGTGATGGTGGTGGTGTGAAGAGACCATGTCAGGTCCTCAGTGATGTGGACCCCAAGGAACCTGAAGCTTTTGACTCTCTCCACCGTAGTCCCATTGATGGCGATGGGGGCGTGTCCCTCTCCCTGCTGCTTCCTGTAATCCACAATCAGCTCCTTTGTTTTGCTGATGTTGAGATGGAGGTTGTTCTCCTGGCACCAAGATGTCAGGTTTTCGTCCTCCTCTCTGTATGCCGTCTCGTCATCGTCTGTGATCTGGCCGATGACGGTCGTGTCATCAGCAAACTTCACGATGGTGTTGGAGCTGTGTGTGGCCACGCAGTCGTGGGTGAACAGAGAGTAGAGGAGAGGGCTGAGCACGCAGCCTTGAGGGGCACCGGTGTTAAGAATCAGGGTGGAGGATGTGATGTTTCCCACCCGCACTGCCTGGGGTCTGCCCGTCAGGAAGTTCAGGATCCAGTCGCAGAGGGCGCTGTTGAGCCCGAGGTCTCTGAGCTTGATGGCCAGCTTGGAGGGCACAATGGTGTTGAATGCTGAACTGTAGTCAATGAACAGCATTCTCACATATGTGTTCCTGTTCTTCGGGTCCAGGTGTGAGAGGGCAGTGTGGAGGGTGAGGGCTATGGCGTCGTCTGTGGACCTGTTTGCTCTGTAGGCAAACTGCAGGGGGTCCAGAGATTCAGGGAGGGAGGAGGTGATGAATAATTTTGACTAACCGCTCAAAGCACTTCATTATGATGGAGGTGAGTGCTACTGGGCGGTTAGTCGTTGGGGCAGGTGATGATTGTCTTTTTGGGGACAGGAATGATGGTGGAGTGTTTAAGACATGTGGGGACTACAGACTGCAGCAGGGACCTGTTGAAGATGTCTGTGAACACCTCTGCCAGCTGAACTGCACACACCCTGAGAACACGGCCAGGGATGCCATCAGGTCCAGGAGCCTTGTGTGGGTTAACCCTTTTAAAGGATTTACACACATCTGCCCTATTTAAAACAAAAGGGCAGTGTAGCTCCTGGTCCCTCTGTACCTCCACAGCCTGGCTGCTCTCAAAGCGTGCAAAAAAACTGTTTAGCTCATCTGGGAGAGATGCGCACGCAGACACTCCCGCAGCACCCCCCGCTGCTCCTTTGTAGTCAGTCATTGTCCTTAGTCCCGCCCACATATTCCTAGTGTTACAGCCTTTGAAGTCAGATTCCACCTTCTCTTTGTACTGTCTCTTTGCATTTTTTATTGCTCTCCGGAGATCATACCTAGACTTCCTGTACTCCTCCAAATCTCCCGCTGTGTGCGCGAGAGTGCGCGCTTTCAGTTTGCCGCGCACCTCACCGTTTACCCAGGGCTTTTGATTTGGGAATGTCCGTACAGAAACCTTCGGTACCACGTCATCGATGCATTTCCCAATGTAGCAGATGACAGTGTCCGTGTGTGTGTTGATGTTATTGTCCTCAAACACACTCCAATCCGTAGATGCAAAGCAATCCTGCAGTGCTGAATCTGACTCCTCGCTCCATCGTTGTACTGTCCTTGTTATCGGTCTGTCCCTTTTAAGTTTCTGCTTGTAAGCAGGCAACAACAGTAGTGAGATATGGTCTGATTTGCCGAAGGGAGGGCGAGGGAGAGCCTTATATCCATTCCGGAAAGGGGAATAAACATGGTCCAGTATGTTTCCCCCGCGCGTCGGGAAGTTGATGTGTTGGTAATATTTTGGCAAAACCTTCTTCATGTTGGCGGTGTTGAAATCTCCGGCCACAACGAACGCCGCATCTGGCCGTGAAGTCTCGGTTTTATCAATAAACCCAAACAGCTGATCGAGTGCCGTGTTGTTGTCGGCGAGTGGCTGCGGCGGGATATACACTGCTGTTATCACAACAGATGTGAATTCCCTCGGCAGATGGAAGGCCCGACATGAGATCATGAGGTGCTCTAGCTGTGCGGAACAGTCCGATGAAATAATCTTCACATCTGAGCACCAGTTGTTGTTAGTCATTACACACACACCGCCTCCCTTACTTTTCCCCGAGTTTGCAGTCCGGTCCTGACGAAAAATAGAGAATCCGTCAGGGACAATAGCGGAGTCCGGGATAGCGGGGTTGAGCCAAGTCTCAGTGAGAATTAACACGTTACAGTTCTTAATGTCCCGTTGAAAAGCAATCCGGCTTCTGAGTTCATCTAGCTTATTTTCAATGGATTGAACATTAGCCAGAAGAATACTCGGAAGAGGGGGCCGATTCTCACGTTTTCTTAGTCTGACCAGCAACCCGGCCCGGCATCCTCGCTTTGTCTTCTTCTTGCGTCTCTCAGGTAGAACAGCAACAGGTAGCCATGGTGAATCTCCATTGTCTGTCGGAGGGTTAATATTGTCCACGAAGTTTCGCAATTGGAAAAGTTCCTCTCTGCTATATTGTATGGCAGAGTAGGTGCGGTCGGCTAGCATGTTGCGAACCATGTTAAAAGTAAAACGGCAAAAGTAAAAGAAATATGTACAAAATACGAAAATGGGCAAAGTTGGAGAGGAGCACAAAGACAATGCGGCCATCTTCACCGGCGCATCACATGTCCAAATGCACTTTTGTACGTCTTTTATACATGAATATGTGTCCCCGGTGTTCCAGGGAACTCACCAAGTGTCAGAAAACACAACCCTCTCTATTTTCCTCCATACCCAAATCTCTAAAAAAGGGGCTGCAACGGATCTGATAAAAACTGATCCAGATTTGAACACTGTCCTGACGTCAGGACAGTGGCGCTACGGCTATTGGGCCAACTCCACCAATCAGGAGGAGACAGACACGGCCATTGCCGTTCGAAAGCGCTGGAGACGCTGTAGTACATATGCGAGGCCTGTAGATGGTGCTGTTCTCACAGAATCAGCCCTTGCAAAAACAGAGCTAACATTTTTCAAATTGAGCGAAATGAGGCATGGCTAAAATGCATGATCTGTTTGGTATTTTGAAAAAAAAAAAGTATAAGTATGGTCCTACACTATATTATTCAAATATAGCATGATAGGTCCACTTTAAATTACGGTAATTCAGCATTTTCCATCTTATGCCATATTTTGTCAAAGTGCTTATGTACTGTATATGCATGTGTTTTGAACTTTCACAAGATGTGACATGTCTTGGTTAGCTGGCCAGCTCTGTTGTGATTGGTCAACTGTTTAGAGATAAGATACTGTAAGATGATCCTTTACTAATCCCCAAGGGGAAATGTAGTTTCCCACTCGTCTACACACACATACACAAATACATACATGCATAGGACCTATACAGATTACTCAAGGGAACTTTGGGATTTTGGCCTTTGCAGACCATTTACATGCACACAAACTTTTATAAGACACTAAATGAAAGGGAAAAGCTCAAAAAGCACAAGAGGTTCCCTTCAAATTAAATATAATATATGAAATAGGGAAAATAGAGAGAAAGACATCATATTTAATGGTTGCACAATAACAAGGCTATATGAATGAGGATATGAGTGATTGACCAATCACATTGTATGTTTGCTTTGAAGAATTACAAAAAAGGCCTTTATTAGTAAATGTGGGATGAAATAA